CTTTGTCACAGAGAATTTTACAAAGTAGATGCTGACACACTTTTAACATTCATTTTTTCCCCATTGAGCAACAGGCCACAGAAAATAAAGCACATCAACATTTTGTATCTCAGAAAAAAAAAGAAAAGGTGCACTTTAAAAAACATTTGCCATAAATACAATATATGTGCAGGACTATCAGGTGGCACAGCTGGGGAAGGACTCTGGATCACAAAACCAGGACACAGCATCATGATATTTTGGATTAGCAGCTTCTGTTTTCGTGCTAAGCAAATCCAGACTGAGAACAGAAGAACTGGTTGAGCTGTAACATGAAGAACCAGACAGAGCTCTAGCAGATACAGCTTTGGTTAAAAAGCTACCACACAACACAGCCAGGAGGACATCAGACTGACACTCAACAGGGAAGCTCCAGTGCTCCCATGCCCTGTGGATGTCTGTCCCTTCCCGGGGGCAGGAGCTTTGCAGTTGCACAGCTGATGAGTTCAAACCTGCAACATGATCTGTCTGCAGCAGCAGCAAACCTTGGGGCTTATTTCACTGAATATTGGCTGCTGTAAATGCAAAGGTCCTGCTATTGTCGTGTTTACAGCACGTGTCCTGCTAACCCTTCTCACTGATTTTCCATTTAGTTTTCTCCTGAAAAACTCACTGAAGCGAGGCCTCATGCACTTTACAATAGAAAGACAAGCTCAGCAGAGCATTCCAACACGGATGTACTGGGCCTGTGGTGAGAAAGTCCTGTCTGGGGGAAATTTCTGAATAGCAAAATGACTTTATAAACCTGATTTCACACTCTGCCAAATGGATGGCCCTGGAAAGAACACTGTGAAAAGAAATGAAACCTCAAAATAACATTTGAAGAGGTCACTTGATAGACTCTCTTCAGAGGGGAATTTCTCTGAATCCATCTGGCAGCACTGCACATCTGTGGGTTCAATAGATTTTTATTATGTTTGTAGTCAAAACAAACTGTTCAAAACACTTATAGGAAATTTGCATAGACTAACAGCATTCTGCCCCAACACTCACCTCACTGCCTCAGTGAAGAGTTCAGCCAAGACAAGAACACAATGAATGGGAGTTTGTGTTCTGTCTAATGGCAAAACTGACTAACACCTGATTAGGTTTAAAGCTAAACCTTGCTGGGTTAGGAGTTCAATCACTGTCAACAGGCTTGGAAAGAACCATTTTTCTGGTATATATTGGGCAGTTTGTACCTTTCCTTTACAAGGCCAGGTTGGACAGGGCTCTGAGCAACCTGGTCTAGTGGAAGGTGTCCCTGCCCATGCCAGGGGAGTTGGAACTGGATGATCTTTAAGGTACCTTCCAAGGTCCCCAAACCATTCTGTGATTCTGTGAAAACCATAAGGTTTTGCAGTGAGTTATCCTCATTTTGAGCTCAAGGGAATTACATCTCTAGGTTGAATACAGCAAAACTAGGTGAGGAGGGGAGAGAGAATGAAATCAGCTGTAACTTACACTTCTCAGCTCAACGTGGTTAGATTTGGCCAGTGGAAGAGGTAGCCTTGGGCTGCAATCTCAGATTAAGGCCATGGACCCAGGTCTGCTCCCCCATTAAACTGCAGGAACAGAGCTGTGTAAGTCAGCAAACCACCTGGATAAATCCCCCCACAAACAGTCAGCTCTTCAGAACTCAAATAGCCCAACAAACAGTATGGAAAGAGTTGATGGTAAGTACATTTTTACCCCAGCTTTTTCCCATTGTCATGTCAAACCCAAAATAAACCTACCAGTTTCTCTGAGCTGTGATCAAATATTCTGTAAGCTGCCAGTGTATCTCAGTAATAAAAATCCAAGCCAAGTATCATATGTGAAACAACAATTTTTGTACAGTGTTTTTGAAGATAATCAAGCACATTTCAGCAGGTTGGTGTTGAACAAGTGTAGTTATAATATTTAATATTTCAAAGCAACTGAGACATGCAGGGTGTTAAGTTGCAATGAAAGTCAAAGCAACACAGTTACGGCTTCTGTGGGAGGTTTCAGAAACCACCTCCCAGTTGTTGACTCCATTTAGACGTGAAGTTAAAAATTTGGGTCCTCTCCTGAAACATTTCAAGTCTTGCCTGGAAGGCCAATGTTAAGTGTGTGACATTAAGACTTCTCTTCCTCTCAAGGAAGACTCTTCCCTCCTTCTGTTCATCATACCTGGACTTTCCCACAAGGCAGTATGGCGAGGTCTTCTAGAGCTTCTTCTTCCAACCTGCCCAAGCCATTTCCAACACACAGATAATGTCTGCTGGTTTATCACAGATTTCCTTCCAACGACATCAGTCTCCTTTTTGCCTTTTTCTATCTGCTGGTTTATCACAGATATCCTTCCAAGGACATCAGTCTCCTTTTTGCCTTTTTCTTTTTTTCTTTTGTTTTGATTACTTTATTTGTGTACCATTGCCTGTTTTTCTTGTCAAAGAGGAGTCAACAGTGCATGATAAACAAAAGTGCTTTGTTAAATATGATCTCTACCCTCTGTTTGGTACAACCAGGGCAAGAAATCAAAAGAAGGCATGACAGGACAGAGCTTGCAGTTTGGCTGAATCAGAAGAAACTAAAGCCCCACTGATTTCTATTTTGAGCCCTTTCTTTTGGAATGGTTCTGTACTAAGCATTAAAGTCATCTCCCATCCCTGGTAGGTGTGGTTGGAGGTCATGGTTGATGGTCTACCAAGGTAACTAGCTCTGTACAACTGCCAGGTTGTAAATGCCTCAGAAGTAGTCAGTCATCAGCAATGACTCGCAATAAGTGCCCTACACGTGTTTTGTCTATGTCCTGACCCTGACAGGACCTAAACCACAAGTCCAGGGAGCTGGGCTTGATGATCTCTATGAGTCCCTTCCAACTTGACATGTTCTACGATTCTATGACACGACATCTGTAGCAGGAGAAGTCATCAGCACCCAGTGGTTCAGTAACTGTTCTCCATCATTGTGTGACAGTTCTCTGGGGTCAGATCCACACCTCCAGCACTGAGACTTCTGTTAGGTACCAAGGGTGCTTGTTAGTTGAAAGGAGATGTGGGATAGGCAAAGCCCAGAAAGCAGAATTGAGCCAAGTGACTCTTCTAGTTTGTCATCACAAAGAGGCAAAGCTCTGGTCTCCTAAGGATATGTGGTGTGAAAGGGGACACAAAGTCACCACCAGCAGTGTCACAGCAGAGGTTGCACAGGATGGTTTGTCATCTCCAGGTTCGTGAAAGTCACCATCGGGTGATGTGAGAGCAGGGAAAGCCCTTTTGCTTGTCCCAGAGCCCTGTGATGTCTGGTATTAAAGACTCTGGAGCAACTTGCTGTGTCACATATTGGGCTATTAGAGGTGGAACCATATAGGAGAAAAGCTCATGCTACCTATCCTGATCAGCTGAGACAATTTTAAGATCTTGTTTCTGTTCCTCTGCCTTGCTAAAAGAAGGTTGTATTAGAGCTAAGACTCCTCAGTTTAGACCTTGTGTTCTCCATTTGCACTATCTCAAGGTTTGTGGGTGCAGATCAGTGTGCCAACAGGTCTGGTAGCAGTAAGAAATAAAAGAAAAGGTAGAACAAGAGGCCTTGCTGCCTACAGTTGGTATAACCTATGAGACAACAGCCTTGGGAAAATGGTGAGGAAACAAGTAAAACTGGAATAGGAATAGGAAGAATCTGAATTGGGGCAGGTTGCTCTTGTCTCAGCAGCCTGGAGCCCTCATGAGCTTGGAGTTTTCTCACCTCTTAATGCAGGCCAGCTAACTGTTCTCCCTGCTAAAAAATAGGATTTTGCTGTATGGCAAAAGTGAGAGTTTCCATTTCTTTTCATTTTCAGCACTCCAGCTGGGCACAGTCTCTGCATTCTTGACTTTGCCAGAGACTTTTTACTTGTTGGTGTTGCAGTACCAATACCAGTGAGAGAAGGGGTTCACTGTGCCAGGCACTAGGTATGCTCTAAAGTCAAAGATGACCCCCATTCCCCCAGGCCACAGCCACGCCAGCCTAGGTAAGGCATCATCTGTTCTAATTTAATTTCAAGGAGCCAGAGTGGCTCTCTTGAGCACCTAGGTCATGTTAGTCATAATGTAGATATATTTCTAAAATAACCACCTGGCTCCCTGAGTTTTCACTCCTTGTTCACTGAACATCCCATAGATGAGCATGTCCATTCTCCAACAACATCCCTTTCTGTTCAAAACTGCTTTCTCCTCATCAGACTCTCTGCTTGGTGCCACCAAGAGATGTGATCTCAAACCCTTGGATGCGAACATGGCATCTCTGCTTTGAGAAAAGGATGAAATGCAGTATGGTTTTGCCTAAGTTTAACGTATTTTGGCTTCCCAGTTAACACCACATCTGGATTTATGCCAGACTGAAGTTACAATACGTGTAGACATTACTCACAAGAGGCAAGGCCAATGCTTTAAAATAACCTCAAAGTTACTGGCAGAATGAAGCCTATTTTTCCAACAAAAATGACTTTGCTAAACACATTTGTGTTACGTGAATTTGGAGACCCTGCACGAAAGTCACAGAGGCCTCTCTCAAGTTTTGACTCCATGATGAATTGCATTTCCCTTCTTCTTTTGGCTTCAGTATGTAGTTTCCCTTGTGACCTGGCTGGAAAATGTGTGGTTGCTGGAGATACTGTTGGATTTCCTGGTGAAGGCCAGTCGTTTCTTCTTCTTCCTCCATGGCAGGCACAGGAGTGTGAGTGTAGAGAGGAAGATCTGACGGAAGTTTGCCGACACCAGGTTGTAGAGGATGGGGTTGATTGCTGAACTGACGTAGAAGAGGACGTTTGTCAGCATGTAGAAGTAGTGGTAGAAGTTGAAAAGGAAACTGGAAGAACAGATGAAAGATAAAAATCTAAGTAGATTGCAGAGAACCGAAATAATTCAGAGTCTAAGGGTGAGAACAAGAGCTGTTTTTTCAGCTAACCTTTCTCGGTTGGGGACATGAGCTTACCACTGGAGCATGAGCCACCAAAAACCATCTATGTCTTCAACTGGGACTGGACAAACATAAGTCAAAAGATTCCACAAAGCTCTTAACCCAATCATCATCACTTAGAAACTTGTTTATGCCCTGTTGCCGGATGTGATATTTACCTTGTGTGTTCACTTTGTCTTTGAAAATAGACCTTCTGGCAACTGAGAAGCCAGATGGAAATTTGTTTCTGTGTCATACATATACATTAGCCTGACTCTTTTTTGGCTGCAGTTTTGGTCTACAGAGCCTGCAGAAGATCCAAACTCCAGTAACAGATGCAGTTCTCTCCTCCCCCCGGCAGTGTGAGCAGCATCAGCTCATTCAGTTTGTCTTTGGGTTGGGATTTGTCTGTAATCTGGGATAGTTTTCTCTGTTCTGGGGGCAAGTTGGTGATAGTATGCTTTTGAAACACATCCTGAGCATCACAATATAATGTTTTCAACTAGAACTGGTTGAAAATGCTTAATTATCTTTCTTACTTTTGGAAATATCTTTCCCTGGGACAAAGACAGACATCAACAGCCCTGAGCTGGTGTAGCATTTATGAACAGCATGGGTCTCATTTTCAAGAATATATTCCTCAGGATCATTTATCTCAGTGGAAATTGCAGACCTTTGTGCTAGTCTGAGCACTGTCTAACAAAAGATAAATAAATGTGTGCAGGAGCACATCACCCATTGCTCCACACCCCCTCAGCACTGCCAAGGACTGCACGGCCCACCCAGCTCTTACAAACAGAATTTCTCTAGGTAGTTGTGAAGAATTAATGCAGGAAAAATTCGTCTTCTTCAAGGGCAAGGCACATGCATTTGTAAATGGACATGTCAAGCTGCTGCAAGCTCTTGGTTGGCCACCAGATTGATAGTTCACCATTCATAACGTGTCTGTAAATTCAATCTTTTCCTAAGATCACTCATGGCTTTTGAAAGTAGAAAAAAATAATATGTGAATGCAAGCACGATGCATAAATTCACACTAACTGCAGACAGACTGCTCTACCTCTCTTGCTCCAAGCAAATGCAATTGTTACATAATTGAATGCTGCTTTAAGTGCTTTTCATATAGGAAGGCAAAGGAGAAACAACAGTTTGTCCCACTGTGTGCCTAGAGCTCTGTTTTCACAGCTGAGGATAGATTTTGGATTTTATTATGGATGGATTCAGTTGACTTCTATATCCTAATTTACTATTTTTTGTGTTTGAAGTTGATGGAATTTTAATGTCTCGTAGTTGTTATACTTTTTAGTGTTGTAGGGGATTTTTTTCTCTTTTCCTGTCCATTGCAGGAGACAGATCCAGTCCCAGGGAAAACAGGGATGTAACACCATGGGAGGAGACACATGAGTGAATCTCATGGCATCTCAGGCTTCCTGGGTATGTGTCCCCAGACAGCTCTGCTGAGGAATCTGCCTTGACCCTGCAGAAAGGACACAGGGAGCTGCTGGGATGCCCTTGCACATCTGTGAGCAGCATGTGAATTCAGCACAGGCCTGCAATTATCCCTGAATTCTCTGTTAAACTGGGAATTTCCTAATCAGCAGCAACTGCTGGTATTTAATTTTGATCCACTCCCTGCAAAACCCAGTCAATAACCTGCCCCAGACTCAGTAAGTAGTGCAGTTATTCCCCCACCTGTGTAATCTCTCCTGTCACTAAGGAAATGTGGCCTCGTGGAGCTAAATTGTGTGTTGATGGGAGCTGCTCCATCTTAGTGCTGGGGATCAATATCTCCACCATGGAGACAGCAATCCACTCTGGATGTATTACAACCCCCTGTCCAAATGCCATTTCATCAGGGACTGTCAGAGAGGAATTGCTAACAGGGGTGAGTCTGTGGCTGCAGCCCACAGGAGGAGAAAGAGCTGATGATGCATTTTGATTCAAGCTTTGATTCAATCCTTCACCCACATCTGGGGGATTCAGAGGGTGAAACTAGAACTCTTCATTTGGCTGGCAAACTCTTAGAAATCCAAAAGGAAAAAAGAAAACAGCAATTAGGAGTTTGATGCTTTAACCCCTTGCATGGAGACACCTTTGCTCCCAGATCCTCACCTCCATCCCCATGTCTGGGGGTGCCCCTGCCCCAGCCTGACCCCCCACCCAGTCCTGGCATGGGGAGCTTGTCCCCCACGTCCTGACTCACTCTGTCCAGTGGCTGGAGGGCACATAGCAGAACATGAGACGTCGTATGTGGTAAGGGAGCCAGCAGACCACAAAGGCAATCACCACAGCACCTGCAAGGTATGAAAGAAGCCCATTACTTGGTGAGCAATTCTTCCTCAGGGTGAAAAAGGGACCTGTCCATGTGGTTTTTATTGCTGAAAACTGTTTTCCTAAAGCCCCACTTGTTCTTCTCCTGCTGTTGTGCAAAGAATTAATAACCCTGAGGGACAACCAGGCTGCAAATGTCTGTAAAAACAAGCACAACAGAAGTAATGGAAAAGAGCACTAAGCACAGGGGCAGTGACATTATGAACAAGAGAAGGTGCAGATGAAGGACTGCCAATGCCTAGTTCAAACGCTGCCTTAAATGAAACTCTATTCACATCTGTCCCTGTGTTTCATGCCCTTGTGGCACTGGATATCTTGTCCAAAGTACTTGCAGAGACAGTTAGGGTATTTTTTTCATCCAGGTAGACAGGGAGCCAGGAACACTATAATCCCATTAGTTTGTTACATGGAGCCATTGACTGCAGTCCCCACAGTGCTGAGGATCATTAAACAGCCTCAGGAGCTCTTTCTGGTGGCAGAGCTCGTCCTTTTGTTCTACATTTGTGCAATACCTGAGACAGGGAAAGCAACATTTGGGTCTGGACTTTGCCATAATAAAAATGACTAATTAAAAGGTAAGCAGAAAAAGACAATATGTTTTTTTTTTCCTTTCCAGATTCTAGCTGAGGGATGTCAAACAACGGAAAATAAAATGCAGCAACTCTGAAGGGTAAACGTGCTGTTGATAGAGTGCATTTGTCAGACTGGATTCAAATGGAGATATATCAGGCAATCAAGAGAAAGATTTGTTTCCTTTTCTAATACACATTTCAACCTTTGTATGAAACAGCAGAGTCCGAGCAGGAAATAAAGAAGTCTCAGTTAAAACATAACACAATAAAAGGCAAGAAGAAAATAAAGACTAAATAAAATAATTATGTTAATTTTTATCCCAAATTTGCTCTACAGACAACATTCTTGCCCTTTAGGTGACCTGTAAAGGGCTGGGAAGCAGCAAAGCTCCCATTGGGAGTGAGGCACCACCAGTGCAATGTGGATTTGGCACACGGAGCCAAAGGCTGTTTTTCCTTCTGCTTTGGGATTGAAAATATTTATGTGGATATATCCCAAACCCAGACACTGTCTTCCCACAAGTACTAAGTTGTAGCTCATGGAAGAGATATACAGATGTGTTCTCCTTGAAAAATGCAGTCCCAGAGGTTCAAGTCTGGTTGTTGTTGCATCTCCCCATCGCTGCTACTCAGCCAAGAGGCACAGGGGAGACTTCAATAATGGAATGGGGATGGACTCTGTGTCATGTTTTTGAGGGTGTCATAACAAGCAGAGTCACTGCCTAATTTGTTCAGAAATTCAGTAATCCCTGGTTTCAAGCTCCATACTCATAGCCCTACTTCAACTCTATGTTCTCCCTCTCTTATTAAACACATAGTAACAACAGAGAGGGTTCTGTTCTTTTAGCATCAGCCTGAATGGTCTGTAGCAACATCTGCCAGGAATCCTGCAAAAGCCATTTATCCAATGAAGATTTAGGCAACTGAAGGGACATGTTTTGGAAAGAAGGCTAGAGGGTCTGTTTTTAATTCTCTTGTCCAAGCGAATTCATTTTTTCAAACAGAATATTTTTGGCTGCTCTATGGTCATAGTGATCACAGATGTAATTCATCACTAGACAGCCTGCAGCCCTTCAGATGCCATCAAGCAAATGAATTTGACCTGTGCCTGATCCTTCCCTGAGGATCTTTGATGGGACTTCAGTGGGAGAGCCCCTAGATGACGTATGGCACAGAAGTGGAGAGATCCACTGGGAAGCACAGAGGGAGCATCCTGCCTTGCTCTTTCACATTTCTGAGCACCTGCTTTTGGCTGCCTCCAGAATGTTATTTCTCTGTTGGATGACCTTTGGTTTGCCCTGGATGGAGCAGCCCCCCATGATTCTCCACGAGATCCCTCTCAGGGACTGCAGGAGAAGCAACACTCTCCAGCCTCTCCTCCTCCATCCATCGGCCTCGAGCCAAAGGGAACAAGCCAACATCTCAGCTCCAGTCCATCTGCTTTCCCTGTGCCTGCACAGGATTAGCAGGATTTTCAGGCTGTGAAAGCAGCTTCACAAATGGCTCCAAACACAGGTTCATTCAGGCACATCATAATTTTTTGCAGAAACCTCCCTGCACTGGCACTTCTCAGCTGCTCAGCCCTGCGTGCAGCTCTTTAAGAACGGCAGGATCCGGATTCTTTCTGCAGCCAATTTCAAGAATCTCACACATCTGCCTGTTAAATTTACCAACACGTTAAATGAAAGTGGTTTTCTCCTGGTAAATGATCTCTGCTTCCGTTGCTCAGGCAATGCTGTGCCAAATAATATAAAGGCAGGGATCTATAGCAGCAAAAACACATATTGAGAGAAATATCTGCTTAACCTCAGCAATTAAGTAATCTGTGGTAATTCTGTAATATCACATGCAATCACTCTGCAATTAAAACTCTATTAAACATGTAGTGAAGTGCACTGGAGACACTTAGAGTCTGATTTGGAAGTCCCAGCTGGGTGACACACTGTGCAGTTCTTTGCCATGCAGATTAGGAGGCCCCGACCTGTATTTATCACCCTTAATCCGTATGTTTCCATTTTATCATACAAGGGATCAAGCAGATTTAGGGTGGCAATCCTGCCCTCTTGGGTCTCCTCTGCAGGGAGGAATATGAAATGTGGGACTGTGTTAACTTTCAGCCAGTACAGTGTCTTTCTCTCCCAGATACCTGGTGCCTTTTGCTGCTGTTTTGTTCCGCCCTGAGCATGTGCCTGTCAAAATGGTTGAGCTGTAAAACAAATGTTGGGCAAGGTAGCTGCCAAAATCATATTTTATTATTGCTATCAGCTCCTAGGATGTGTTCTCCATCATCAAAAGCTCAACATGTGAGCCTCTTTGGTGGAGTAAGGAGCAGGTTAGCCTGATGGAGCTGAGCACAGCAGGAGAAGAAATTGACCCAACACGTGATGGGGTGACTGTCCAGGATGGTGTTTGTGAGGTTGGAGATTTCCTGCTTTTATGTTTTGAACTAAAAATAAACCAGGCCCATCCCTCACTTCTAATTAATTCAATGAGGCTTTAATAGGAGCAGAGCTGCTCCACGAGCTTCTGACATTTCCCATATTTGAGCAAATGTGGTGCCAAACCTTGAGGCTGGGGAGCAGAGAGGAGACCCCAGAAGGTGACCCTGGTGTGCAGAGTATGCCAGAGTCATCTTTTCATCAACCTATGTCTTAATTTCTCTTCTAAATCAAACTTCCAATTTAAATGTATATTAAACCCTGAATTATTGCATCCTGTGTCTTTCTGTTTTGTCTTGTAATGACTCTGTTCTCTGCCTGTTTCAACTGCATCCCAAGGAAGAAGGGGAGAGGAAGGAGGAGCGATGGAGGATGTGCCCTGGTTTGTTTATCCTGCAGAGGGAAACATCAATTCTGAGTGGCATCTTTTTCATTGTGTAAAAGAAGATTTAAACTGTGCCAGTCTTGATTTTCAGACTAAACTGGATGTGGAAGCAATCTTGGAAAGTAAATTATATTAGATCACATTGAGTATTTTATTTTACCTTGTGTATGTCCTGAGGCTGGGAGACAGCCCTTCTCCAGAACCAATATCCTGGAATATCCACGTTTGGTTAGCATGAGGATGTGTAAGAAAACCACAGCAAGTGCTCGGTGGCTGGTTTGACTGAGCACAGGAGTGATGCTCAGGATGGGTTTTCATCCCCCTGTCCCTTCTCTGGGGCCATCTGAGGCTAAGTGTGACTCAGAGCACTGGGACAGCGATGGGTAAGCGCCACCACTGCTGACTCACGCAGGACCCCAGGGATCAGGTGCAGAACAAAGCACTCAGCTGGTGTTTTCCTCCATGCTTTAGCTATCCTGTCCCCTCCAGGGTTGTGATGAGTCACAGCCCTATGGCTCCAGGGTGGTCCTTGGCTTAGGGTATCCCCCTGTCCTCTCCTTCTTACTCTCAGGAGAGGGAGAAAAGAGATGCTGCTTCCTCTTATAACCACCTCTGCTACTAAGGCCTCCAGAGGAGCCCAGATCCATCTTTCCTTGATAGCTTAGTGCAGATTATTTCAGTCAATTTATTTCCTTTCCTTTGCATTTCAAGGGGAGCTGAGACACATACAGATGGGGAACAGGGCATATAATTCCTGAGCTGCCTGGGGATGCACTGACCCACCTGGACAACAGTTCTCAGCCTTTTCTATGTTTCAGCTCATCAGGGCCATGAGTCTCCAACGCTGCCAAAGGGATGCACACACCAGCTGGTACTAATAAGGTATATGACAGGTTATGGGGCTTATGCCAGGGTTTTGCATTCATGCTGATTTTTTTTGAGAAACAGTCCTTGTATAATCAAAACTCCTGTTTTTATATACTTATTTAGCTGATGCCATTACAAGAGAACCTCTCACAAAGTGCTGTTTGATATGAGAGATGGTAAAAGCTGGGCCAAGTGTAGTCATAGCTGGCACTGCCTAAGTTAGACCTCGAGGTGCTGTTTATATTAACGTGATGCTCTACCTGACAGGTCATAGATAATATTTATACCAGAGGGCCCCAAGCTATGGATTGTGGGAGCTGCAAGGGTAGGTATGAGCCCAGTAAAATTAAAACTACTCATGCTGGTATTTGGGTCATAAGGCTATGGAATAAATGATTTCCATAAAAGTCGATAAAAATCAGCAGGGATTTGGAACCACCAGAATGCACCAGGAGTACTCAGGAGAGCAAAGAAGGAGAAACTGGGAATAGCAGTGGAACTAGGGAGCCCTCAGCCCCTTTAGACACCACAGAGCATTTGCTGGATACAATCCCCCAGTGCTGTTGCACATATTATTGAGAAGTGAAAACATTAGTTTTGGCTCCTTAATTTCTATTCCCAGCACCTTCCTGCATCATTTTCCTACTTTTCTCCTTCTGTGGGAGGATTGTCTCTTCTTTGGATTAATAGGGTAGACGATG